AAAGCTGCTTGTGAAGCTCCATCTATATGACGTGGATTTAGGCAGTTCCTTTTGAATGATGCTGCTATAGAGATTTCTGTTTTGGGCGGTTCTGATGGGTGCCGGCGTGGAGAAGTCTTGGTTGAGCTTTCAGGATATTTCAAACTCCAACAGTCCTTAATAAGTTTTGATAGTCTTTTTCAGTTATTTGAGTGACATCCGTGTTTGCTTATTCTCTAGGAAAGCATATCAAGATGTATCATTGTTGTCTATGTATTAAATGTATAATCACGTGAAAAAGATATGGCTGTTGATTGAATCTCACGAACTCCTTCATTAAACATTTTGCAAGTTATGATCTTAATAATTATCCTCTTAATAATTCAGTCTTTTACATTCCTACCAAAAAAGCATGGATAAAAATGGTACAGTGGGTTGGGAACCCAAATGCCCCTCTATTGAATTCTTCGTGGTTGTAAAAATGCTCACACAGGGGTTTAATCATTAGCCGTGTGAATGGTCCCGTGCAATAGAGTAATGTAGAGTAATTCGTCATAGTAACTCTTACGTAGCCATAAATTAATAGTTAAGGTTTCAACCACTGGTAAAAAGTCGGAGATATTGCCAAGCCGTGAATCCTTCTTCATAATGAAGTTTTTGATGTGAACCAATAAAACAAACCTTTTGCAACTAAAATTTGTGAATGAATGGCAACTTGGGGCGAATCTCAACATAGCATCTCAATAATAAAATCATGAACTCCCAATCAGAAAGTCCCATATTCTCTTCAAAAATTTGGATGATGCTTTTGCCTCACGAATAGGAAAAAGATTCAGATAACGATGAAACTTGGTACGCGAACCATGTCCTGAGAGAACCTCTGAAGATAATGACATAACTTGCGATGCAGCCAACCATGAAAGTCATAATAGGCCTCAAACGCTTGTGCTTTGAAGTACTTGACTGTAAGGGTCTACACTCGTCATTACTACACCTACGCAAAATGGTTAGTCGAAATAAACATACATATAAAAGTAAAATAGGATAAACAAGAAAATAAGCACAAGGAGGTGGGATATTAAGGTCAAAAATTAGGGTGCGACAGTATGTACAATACATTGGAAATTACTAACCTCTTGCCAACTTTCCTCATATTCAGAACATCACCAATACCTTCAGCTGTTAGAGTATTGTCATTTGAAAATTTTACCATGTTCTTCAATGAGGGTTTTATATTGACAAACCAATCTTTCCTACCAGCCATGTGTGATAAGCATCCTGAGCCCAAGTACCATTAGTCGTGGAATCTTTATTTATCTCTTCTTGTAACCATCAACAACATTTCTTCCTATTCATACTTTGGAAACTTTGCATCATTTTCTTGGCTCTTTCGTTTTTTAGGATAATCACTGAAGTAGTGGCCATACTTTTGACAATTAAAACACTAAATGTGACTTTTGCCAGGTTTTCGACCACCACATATTTCTCTACCTACTGCACCACCTCTTTGGTAGCTTTGGTATGATGACTTTCTCTTATTCGACCAATCTCCTTCTTGTTTATTTTGATCAGTCAAATTATTGTAGCCTCTTCTACCTTTCCAACTTCCTTTTCCCTTCTTTTCTTTTGTTGATTGCACCTACAAAACTACATCACTCTTCGACTTTCTTGTAGCTCTTTCAACCATCATTTGTTCATGAGATTCAAGCGTTCCTTGAAATTCTTGCTTTTTCAAACTTAAAAAATATTCTGACTCTTCTATTGCTACTACCATGTGATCGAACATTGGAGCCAATGACCTCAAGATCTTTGCAACAATTGATATTGATGTCAACACTTCTCCATATATCTGGATTTGATTCACCAGTTTTGTAACCCTAGTGAAAAAATATGTTATACTTTCATTGTCTTCCATCTGAAACAATTCATACGTTCCTTATTTAGTTTGTAACCTCACATCTTTCACCTTTTCTGTGCCTCCAAACTATTTCTATAAGATTTTTCATGCTTCTTTCGCTGATTCTACATCATTGACCTTTTCAAAATTGTCGGAATTAACACATTAATGAATTATAAAGAGAGCTTTATAATCTTTTTTCTTCAATTCTCTATTTGCATCCTTTTCTTGATCCGACGCGTTTTCTGCAAGTGGTGTTACTCTTTCCTTCACAAGATCCCAAAGATCTTGATAACAAAAAACAACATTTATCTGTTTACACCAATTCTCATAATTATGACCCTTCAAAATTGGGAGACTCGCCAAAAAATTTCCATTCAGATGATTCATCGCCATTTCCATCGTGTTTAGCTTCCGACAAATCACTCAGCTAGTGCTCTAGATACCAGATGTTGGAATTAAACCCAAGATTTTGAGTAATTCTGAATCAATCTTGATGAAGAAGATTCAATCAAAATGATTGAATTCCCTCTTGTTCTTAACTTTTCACTCGAGTGAATCCACCAACCTTGGTTGTAAGATTGTATCGCTATACAATGGTGATGAAAACAAGAAATACATTTGAATTAGGGAAGAAAAAAATTAGGGATTCAGAATAAAATAGGGGAAGAAGAAGAATTTCTGAAGTAGTTTCTCTCTGCTCACAAACAATGATTTTATTCTTTATAAAATTACAAGTTGTTCGAGTGTTACAATTCATAATAAGGTTACTCCCTATTTATAGATTTGGCTTGCTTGCTCCCTAAGCAAAGCCCAAAAACAAAAGGCCAAAATACCTAATTTTGTTAACACTACAAAATTAGACCTAAGTCGGAATTCCTGTAGAGGTACACTCCTTCGACGTTTCGACACTCATACAATTTCGGCACACAATATTTTGACAACAACAAACTCTATCGAAAATACTTCTTTGACACAAAGAATTACAATTCAACAACCTTCACTTCCAACAACTAGATTAACCCAAAACAACGTTGCAATGAAATCATAAGTGGTGAATTGGCAAGTAAAAACCTTTCTGATTTTAAACACTTATTACTGACAATGTTGTTGTTAATACATAAGAAAAGGTTGAGTAATCAGAAGAATAATTTAATGAATAATAGACTGAATAAAAACAAAGGTTTCTGGATTTCTTCACACATAATGACATTTACATTTATAAACAATCATCCATGCTAACAAAAATTGTAATGTCATAATCTAAAAGACTTTTCCATTAAAGTTCAAACATTCAAGTAGAGTCACATTGTTAGTCACAAATGAAAGCACGAAAGTTGCAAGTAGGGGTGGAAATAGGCCAAACTGATAACAGGGGCCTACGACCTAACCTACACAGGCTCAGGCCAGACTAAAATTTTTTTAAAAAAAATAAAAAACCTAATCTTTTTATAAGCCTATTTAGTTAAAAAGGTTAGGCCTCGGGTGATGAAATAAGCCTTTTAAGCCCTAATAGGCCGGTCTATTAAATAAATATGAATAATTTTTTATTATTATATTATGTTTTATACTTTGAATTAAAATACATAAATTAAAATTGGTTATCTTGGAGAATTTATGAAAATAAGATGAAAACACCTTATGAACAATGTTATAAGTTATTTTCGTAAGTTATCTTAAATAAATAGTTTCACAAAACTTATGCTAATAGGTAAGTTAAAAAAAGTCAATGCAAATAAATTTTTAGTTTCATTGATTTTTTAGTTTGTTAGTCTATTTAAACATTGTTTTGATTATTTACACGTGTTTAAAATAATAGACTTTTATTTAGGCTAACCAGACATTAGAAAATATCATTCTTAAGCCTAAAAATAAGTCTTTGACATATTACAGACCAGTCTTATATTTTATTTTTTTTACAAGTCAGACTTAAATTTGATAAAATCTAGTTCGGCCCAGACTATTTTCACCCCTAATTGCAAGAGTCTTTGTAGATCTAGAATCAAAGATGAACTTCATGCCACTATGATTAATTTCACTCTCACTCATCATTAAAAAACAAAAATATAATTATCGAGAGAGATAGTGAGGAATGAGAGGTGAGAAGAGAAAATTGATGAAGAGGATCCAAAGTAGTATTTCACAAGTTTTTCATTTCATGATTTATTTAATGATAAGCAAATAGTTAACAAACATGTATGATTTCCAAAATACCATAAAAAAATAAAGCTATAGATTTGTTAGGAGACAACTCTACATCCTAACTTTATTTATTACCTAAGTGGTCCTTATACTTTTGTTTATCCTTAAAATGAAGGGTGTACGTTACTTGTGTCTTTTAGGACTCATATGGTAAGCAGACAGTGTTTGAGTTGTTCACTAACTAACCTCCCTCCCTATCTCACTTGGACTATTAGCTCATTGCTTTAGGACTTTTTATTTTATGTTGTTCACCAATCTCCAACATATATATATATATATATATATATATATATATATATATATATATATATATATATATATATATATATATATATATATATATATATATATATATATATATATATATATATATATATATATATATATATATATATATATATATATATATATATATATATATATATAAAATCCGATGAGCATTTTAATTTTTATAGAATGTTTTTCCGGCTATATAATATAAGAAATAAGTCTAATTATACATGGAAAAAGTTTTTAGAATATCCATTACGTCTCAAACTATTCAATTAATGGATAAGAACTAAAAAAGGAATCATTCACTTTATTTCACTTTAAAGCTTCAACGTTTTCCCCGGGAAATTACTTCTTCATATCACGTGAACTGCAAGAACTTCTTCCACGCCATCTTCTCACATTAAAGAAAAAAAACTATATATTATATAAATCAATACATATATATACATATATAGTAAGTAGGTACTATATAGGAAAAAGGAAACTGAAGGCAGAGAAATGATTTTGAATTATTTGACAAGAAATTGGATTTTATTAGATTAAAATTTGTGAGAAGTTTCTGAGAAATTTTCATCATTCAACAACTTCAATAATTTGAAACAAAGTTCTAAGATACTGTGCATGTAATTAGCAACAAAATAGAGCAAACATGGCTAGCTTCAAGAACTTCAATGTTATCACAAACTCCACCAAGGTTTTCTATCTCTCTCTTTCTCATGCCTTTTCTTTCTTTTTATTCAATTTTCAATCATATCTTTACTTTGCATCTTTCCTTATGTGTCAAGATTAGAAAAACAAAACATGTGACTGAGTTTTTTTTACTATCAACAAACCATACATTCACGTATTTAGAGTATTAATGAACGTTCGATTAAGATCAGATGATTTAAATTTATGTTTGATATTTTAAATTATAAAAAAAACAAAAAAAAAATCATCTGATCTTGATTGAACGATCATTAATGATCTCAATACGTGAGTACGTGAATTTAGTGCTGTATTAGATTCAATTTTAAAAATTTGTCATGTAAAATTAGTGTTTTCTTGTGCAGGCACAAGATTCAACCTTTCTAAACCAAACACTAAGAGGAAACATTGTCAGGAAAATCTTCAAGATTATTTTCTATTTCCACTTGCTTCTAATTTCACTTTTGATAATTTCCCTCACAATCTATAACCTTATTATCTCTACCTCTCAAAACCCTAATTTTCACCCAATGAAATGGTACCCTCCACTCTTAACCTCAACATTATGTGCTGGAGTTTTTGGTTTCACATGGCAATGGATAACTCTCAAGAACCCTAAAATGGCCATCAAAGCAACATTTTGGCTTAGCCCTATTCTCACATGTGTAATGGCCATCATGCTGGTCTACATCGAAACTCCGATAAGTCTCACATTTGGTGTCATTGCTTTGATTTTTTCATTGATTCAATCTCTCTATGGTTGTTGGATCAACCCTAGACTTGAATATGCCAACAAAATCTTATCAACTTCAATAGTTGATTTTCCTATAAAAACCATGAGAATAGCCTTTTCATCAACCCTAATAGGAATTTTTTATTGTCTTTTTCTCATGTTTGGAATTGGAGGAGCAAGAGCAATTGAAAACAAAACAAACTTAACATCATTGTTCATTTTGTTGATTGTATTAAGCCTAGGATGGACTATGCAATTTCTCAAGAATGTGATTCATGTAACAATATCTAGGGTTAAGTATATGAACTTAGGTTGTGGTGAAGAAATCATGGACACAAGTGTTGCATTTCATGACACATTGAACCACTTAATTGGAAGTGTCACAATAGGTTCAATTTTGGTTCCATTTATCTCAACCTTTAGGGGTTTTGCTAGGTCAATGAGTCTCATGGGAGGAGATAGTGATGAGTTCATGTTTTCTTTTGTTAGTTGCTATATGGGAATTGCATCAATTCTTGTGAGGTGTGGAAATAGGTTTGGTTTTGTGCATGTTGGTGTTTATAATAAAGGGTTTGTGCAAAGTTCTTGTGATGTATGGGACATTTTCAATAGGGTTGGATTGGTGGAACTTGTAGATTTGGATCTTAGTGGATCATTTTGTTTCCTTAGTGGTGTGGCAGGGGGTGCAATTAGTAGTTTGGTGGGTGGGATTTGGAGTATTGTGGCGTATAAGAACTATGCAACTGAAGTGTCTATTTATGGATTCTTAATTGGATACTTTATGGTAAGAGCTAAGAATTTTTTTTTGTTGAAATTATGAAATTTTATATTGAAATTAAAATTAATTATTTTTTAATACTATTTTAGGATTGAAAATGTGTTTAATTATTTATATTTTTTTTGCAGGTTAGATTGGGATTGGCATGGGTACAAGCTTGTGTTTGTGCTTACTATGTTGCTTATGCAGAGAATCCGCAAAGTACTCATTTTGACTCAACTATACCAATGCGTTTGGAGCAGCTTCATAGATCTCAAGTTTAGGAAATATTTGAAGAAATGAATTTGAAAGATGTATATTACCCTAAGATTATGTGATAGAAATAACAATTTGAGTAACTTATTTAGAATTTTCATCTTGTAATCATGGTATATGTTGTATATAGATTAAAATTAATCTAATTTATTGAATAAATTTTACCTATACTTTTAGTGGGATATGATCTTAGAAAGCCCAACAACATGTGGCCCAAAAAAACTCTTTGCATTAGGGGTATTATAGTGCAATTTGGATCAATTTTGAGATATGATCTAGAAATAAAATTACTCGCGGTTTAATTTAGTTTTGGATTATTAGTTAAAAAGATCTGATTCGATTAAATTTTATGCGATTAAATCTAGATTGATTTTTGGATGTCCAAATTAGAAATGATAATTTTTTTAATAATATTAAAATTATATAAATAGTATGAAATAATAGGTTTGAAGTAATATATAATATATAAAATATTAAAAGTTAAAATTACATGAGAACTATTGATTATGTTTGAAACAAATAAAATATTAAAAATAAATATATAAACTAAATTAGTGTTGACAAAAATTAAGTTTCGATGAATGATAATTTAACGTAATATCTCATACTAATTATTTCGTTATGTTAGAACAAGATCTGTTCATGATATATATCCTTAGTTTTGATGATAACATAAGTATTAAAAGAACAATGGTGTCATCTAATGTGTGTTTAAGTATGCAGGTTCTCTCACTTAAAAGATACAATCAGAATCTGATATGAAGACACACTTGAGTAAAGTTGAGCTACGTGATCCCGATGACACATAATCTGAAAGAACTCTTGCTAAATGTTGTTTGGTGGAGACTCTGAAGCTGAAGGCTTCAGCATCAGAAGACGCAACTCATTGTTTCTACACTTGGTAATAGTATTGGCTTCTGAAGAATGTTTAGAAGATGTAGCGAAACTGAAGTTATCCGTACTACAAAAAACAAGCAGTAATGTCAACTCAGCTCGTCAGCTAGAGTTTATGATCACAAGGCTCAAGAAAAGTTAACATGCTTTACGGATAACCACTTTCAACAGCTCTATAGTACAAGATACTTCTAAAGACACTTTGGTTATACAAGTTACACAATGGATCAAAATCTTATGTGTATCTACCCTCAACGTCTCTTGTACTTTAGAGAAGAACAAATACATTTGATCAAGTTATTTCTCTCAACGGCTAGTTCCCTGAAACCTGTTATATAAGGAGTTGAAGGTTCTACTTGAATCTTTAACAAGGAATAAATGGAAGAAGGAATTCTCAAGAAGATAGAGGTGTCTCTATCTTAATGAAAAAATAACAAGATTCACAATGAGTAACAATGTGTAACACTACTGAATATGCAAAATCTTCTGTTGATTGTTGTAAATTGTAAATAACCTTAAGGTTTCCTAAACATTGAATACTCTGGAAATCTTAAGTGCTTAAGGTCCTTGTTAAGGTTATTACCCTGTACCTCTGATTCTGGATCATGTACATCTTGTTCTCTTTTCTGCTGAATAGATTATTCAACATATAAGATTAAAAGTCGCATACTATGTGTTTGAGCATCAAGTCTCTAGTTAAAAAGCTTAAGCCAAGTAAGTCTTCTGATGTGTGCTTGAGCATTGAAAGTCTTAGACATTAATTCTGAGCGGGGAAGTCTTGGATCTAGGATCTGAGAAGGAAAGTCTTAGATGGTGTGTCTAAGCAGGAAAGTCTTAGATGGCGTGTCTCATCATGAAAGTCTTAGATGACGGGTCTAAGCAGGAAAGCCATGAACCAGGTGGTTTGGGCAAGGAAAGTATTAGGATCTGAGGATCTAAGCAGGAAGTCTTTACAGGTGCTGATTGAGCAGGGAAGTATTAGACGGTAGGTATGAGCAATGAAAGTCTTATGCTTGAGTGCATAAGCAGTTGTGATCATATGATTGATTATGTTAGAACACAGATTGGTTCTTAATAATTACTCTTTGTTTTGATGATAACTGTTAGGAAATTTATATTTAAGAATTATATACTCTAAAATTTGTTTGAGAGTTTTACTGCAGATTAAAATTATATTAACTCTCTAGAAGCAAATCTGCCTTGAATACAAGAAGCTATTCTGACTCTGAAGCGCCAGATGCACCATTACAGAAGAATCTGTTTGCTCCTTACAGAAGATACTGAGCGTAGTCTCCAGAAGGATCTGAAGCAAGAAGCTCCAGAACATTCTGAGTCAGAAGCATCTGAAGATAATCAGAAGCATCTGAAGCTGAAGCATCAGAAGTATAGAAGAATATTGATTGAAGAGTTTCTCAAAGCACTTAGTCTACAGAAGTTTCTGAAAGTACTTATGCTGCCAAGTACTGAAGTTCTGTGTCAAGATGCTCTGATGATCAACACGCTAGAAGCACACACGCTGCAGAAGACTCTGATACAGCATAGTTCTGAATCTCATCAGAAGACTCTGATCCATTCAAACTCTGAAGAACTTGCTGAAACTGAAGAAGTGTTTTCAAGAATGTATCCGTTGGAACCATTCAACGTCTCTTTCCTTATTTGTGCTAGACACACTTACACAGACAAAAAGGATTTATCTGTGCCATCTATTTCAAGGAAAGGTCAGTGCATGTGAAGACAAAAAGGCTCAGACCTTTTGGACTCTCTTTTCAACGTGCATGAGTCAGCTGCCTATAAAAGGAGTTTCTCACTTCATTCTTCAGTAATACACACTTGCTGAAAAGAAATCATATATTCTAATAAGCTCTCATTCTTATTCTTCATAGAATCTCATTGTACTTAACTTAAGAGAAAAATCACTGTTGTGATTATAGCTTTATAGAAGCATTAAAATCTCTTGTATTTAATTTACATTGATTGTAAAGGATATTCCTTAAGAGGATTCAGTGTGAATCAGTAGCTCTTGAGAAGACTAAGAACTGTAGTTCTTAGGTGATACTATTGTAATCAGTTTGATTTAATAGTGGATTAAGTCCTTGTTGAGAAAGGCAAATCACTCTGGAAGGGTGGACTGGAGTAGTTGTTTAGCGAACCAGGATAAAAATAATTGTGTGATTATTTTTAAGTATTAATTTTTCCATACTTATTCAACCCCCCCCCCCCCTTCTAAGTATTATCTCACCTTCAGTTGGCATCAGAGCTCCGGTTCTGAGTGTGCTATCACTTAACAGTGTCAGTAAAGATCCAGAGGAGATATACTTTGATCAATATATTTATTTGTTATCATGGCTGATAATTCAATGTCAAATATCAACAATAAATATGAAGAGAGGGATAGGATCAGTACCAAACCTCCAATGTTTGATGGAGAAAAATTTGACTATTGGAAAGATAGAATAGAAAGTTTTTTTCTTGGGTATGATGTTGATCTTTGGGATTTGGTCATTGATGGATATGAACATCCTACTGGTGAGGATGGCAAAAAGATTGATAGAAAATCAATGACTGAAGTGCAGAAAAGAGATTTCAAGAATCACCACAAAGCCAGAACTATATTGCTTAATGCAATCTCTCATACTGAGTATGAGAAGATTACTAACAGAGATACTGCTCATGACATGTTTGAATCACTCAAAATGACTCATGAGGGAAACTCTCAGGTTAAAGAGACAAAGGCTCTGGCGCTCATACAGAAGTATGAGGCATTTAAAATGGAAGATTCTGAAAATGTAGAAACTATGTTTTCTAGATTTTAGATTCTTACAGCTGGTCTGAAAGTTCTGGACAAGGGCTACTCAACGTCAGATCATGTCAAGAAAATCATCAGAAGTCTTCCCACCAGATGGAGACCAATGGTGACTGCATTGAAGATGGAAAAAGATCTGAACAAGATCTCCTTAGAAGAACTTATCAGTTCTTTGAGAAGCCATGAAATTGAGCTGGAGGAAGATGAACCCCAGAAGAAAGATAAAGGTAAATCCATAGCTTTAAAATCTAACAAAACTGCTAAAGCTTTGCAGGTTATTCAAGAAAGCTCTGAAGAATCTTCTTCTGAAGAAGAAGATGAGTTGTCCATGCTGTCCAGAAGGATTAACAAGCTCTGGAAGCACAAGGGAAAGAAGTGTAACAACTTCAGAAGATCTGACAACAGAAAGGAATCTTCTAGTCACAGAAGATCTGCCAAGAAAGAAGTGGTGTGCTATGAGTGCAAAGAACCTGGGCACTACAAGAATGACTGCCCTAAACTTCTGAAAGAAAAACCTAAGAAGAAGTTCAACAAGAAGAAGAAGGTTCTGATGGCAACATGGGATGACTCAGATGAGTGTGAGTCATCTTCTGAATCAGAAGAAGAATGTGCAAACGTTGCACTGATGGCCAGGACAGAGGATCAAGAGGAAGGTACCTCTGGATATGAATCAGAATCTGAATCTGATGATGATGCAGAAGAGGTAATGGCTAAACTTACCAAAGAAGAACTCATTAAAGTTTTAACAGAAGTTCTTAAAAGTTACAACAACATCAAACTCAAATACAAGAAGCTGAAAAGCAATCTTGAATCTGAGATTGATCTTCTGAAAACAGAACTTGTTGAGCAGAAAGAAATAAATTTAAAAATCAAAAATGACTTTGATAGAACTCAACAAGAATCTGATTCTGAAACTAAGTCTTGTGAAAATATTTTAGAAAAATATGACTCTAGTTTTCAGAGGTTTCTCACTAAGAGCATAGACAGAAGCAAGATGGCTTCCATGATCTATGGTGTTAGTGGAAACAACAGAAGAGGCATTGGATATGAGTCTTCATCTGGAAGCAATCCAAAACCTGTTGACAAACTTTTCATCAGGAAGACACCTCTGTACTCTCAATTCAAATTTGGTCACTTGAATGACATTAAACACACAAGCTCTGAGAAGAGTACTTATGTGTTTAAACCAAAGGCAAGTCAGAATAAACATTATGTTGCAAAACAGAAGTTTAGACAAACCTATAAACCAACTAACCCCAAAGGACCCAAGAAGATCTGGGTACCTAAAGACAAAATAATTCCTGTTGCAGA